TAAATGGAGGAGTAGCATCCACACACTCCATGCCTGAGTCAGAGTCAATCTATCACCTCAGCTCTTAGCTGTCCATGGCACACTCCCCTGGGAGCTCAAGGCCTGGAGGGACATGTGCTGTGGCAGTTCATGAGGAAGCCTGTACCTTTACTCAAACCACACACTCTCACCTCCTCCAGAGCACGCCAGTGCAGCACAAGCTTTATTTCCTGAAAAGGGTCTGGAAGGGGTTCCTGGAGCAGAGAGAAAAAGCAGGATGCACTGATGGGACCAGATTATGCAGCATGAAGACAGACTGTGATAGCCCAACAGAAAAGGATCTTACAGGGAAATCAAGAACAAGCCAATGGAGTGGAGGTGCTGAAAACGTAGACAGAAATGAAGATTAAACAAAGACAGCAGAGTCAACTGGGGTACGGAAGCAAACAGGAAAAAGCACAAGAAATCCCTGAAAGTGCAGTGCACTTCCTGTCCAAAGACCAATTGCAATCTCTACAGACTTAAAGTCTTTTGAACACTTTCCAATCCCAGAGAGAGAGGTTTCAGTTTCTGGCAAGGAACACTGGTTTTAGGAGCATGGGCTCTCATTTTGCAGTGTGTCATTAAGACAGTGCAATGCAGAAACTTCTTGGTTTGTCTTCCATTTACTCAATACAGAAACATACAATGGCTATGTCAGTCACTGAATTCCCAGGTTCTCTTAATGGAAGGTTATTATGTCCACACCCAACCTTTATTTTCCACAAGTAGCTGGAGTGTGAAAAGAGATTACATAAAAGCAGTGTTTCCTCCCCGGCCAAGGAGAACCACCCACTTCGCCTCCACCCACATCAGAACTTTCCCCGCTGAAGGGAGAAGATACACAGGTCCTACAGCAGGAAAAAGCCCTTGTAACACCTCCAGGCAAATAAGGAAAATGGAGTAGGCCAACTCCCACACCAGCATGATTTCTAACTGAACCATCACTCAATTCACTGTCATTCCGATGACATGGTGAAAGGAATGGCATTTTTTCCAGCAGTGACTCCTCACCTGCAGTGTCAGAGGTAGGAACCTTTCAGAAAAACAACTCTGTGGGTGCAGTGCAGGATAGATCATTGAGGGTGGCTTCTCCTATTTGCATCTCAATGGCACAAATTAGGTGACAAACAAACACACAAACAAGCAGTACACTGCTACTAGAATCAAGTAAAAAACCCTCAGAATACATCAACCTCTAGCAAGATTATTTTCAATCAAAGGCAGATATTCAAAACACTTTTATTCATCTTCAAAGAGAGCCTTCCCTATACCAGCGCTTCACCCAAAGGTACACAGAAAGACCTACGTAAAGCGATCTTCAGTTTTTACGAATCACAACAAAAAAACTCCTTCAGTAAGATGAACTGCTTAATGTTTCCATCAGAAGACAGATTTTGTTTCACGAAATACAGAAAAACGAGACCAGTCAATGCATATTTAAATGTCCAGGAAAGTCTTTACTCCAAATTTTATCTGCCAAAAATCCAGAGCAATGCAGATTAGTAAACTACTTCCAGCATTACAGTTAGGAGAAAGGCTGACCTCCTATTTGAGTGGATCGCTTTGTATTAGTTACTGAAGCACACTCCAATTGATGACTTTGAAAGAGAACTTGATAGACAGACTCAACCTGTCTGACTACATTCCTATTTTTAACCAGAAACATTCTGCTAATTTTACCTTGGCTTTTTGCAAATTAAATTATCCCTCCCAAAACGCCACCCACAAACAGCCCTGTAACTTCTTCTTTCACTAGCATGAATTCTCATACTTTTAAACTCTATTATGGATTCAACTAAAACAAGTTCCTCCAACAAGAATCTGATTTGTTTGGTTTAAAAAAAACCACACAAACAAAAAAACCCCTCTGACACCAGCATGACAAAGAAGTGTAATTTTAAACTGTCATTTTAATTTCTGCTGATTGTCCACTAACTGCTGGTGTCCCAAGATGCTGATACTACCAGCATAAAACTTTACATTTCAATACCCAAGTTTTGGATAAAAAGTAGAGAAATAAAAGGAGAGAGATTTCCCAAACAACTAATGAACTTTAGTTGCAAAGATTTCCTGAGAAAAAAAGAGAAGAATGTTTAATGTTAAGAAGAAATTTATTAGAAAACAGTCTTTTTTTTCTTCCCACAAAACACACTTGCCAAATGAAAGCAGAGGACTTCGCCCTAGTCACAGAAATCAAGAACTCGGCCAGAATGATTTCCACCCCTCATCACTGGATTTGTATGAGTGATGTACCCTTCCACCTGCTCCCACATGTTCCTTCTCTCAATCATCATCTGTGCTAAGGTGGGTTTATTGTTCTGCTCTCTCCTTATTTATATGTATGAGCTCAGCATTAAAACTTTAAACCTTCAGAACATGCAGAACATTTCCTGGATTAGTTTGCTGGAAAATACATGTTATTAAAACAAAACTGGCAAGAAGAGTGTCTTCAAGAATCCACTTCACCTCTGCGTGTTTAGGAAATGAGCAAGATGCCTAACTAACAACAGGGACTGCTTTTATCTTACAGACCCACCACAGTGGTACATTGATTGTGAAGAGCCTCCCCTGGTAACACAAATATTTAACAATAAAACAGGGTAAAATTAAAACTCAGAGGAACGGCACCTGTGACATGACTCACACGTGGTGTAAGAGTTCCATTTGCAGCAACCTCTCTAGGGCCGACATGAAAGAAATTGTTTCTTCAATGCACCAAATGCTCCTGTGTCCAGAGGAGGCTGCCCCAGCAGCACTTCAGTCTCAAACTGTCAGCTAAGCAAAACACATATGCAGTACTATCAGGAAGTTTTGTTCCTTCACAGATTCAAGAACTACTAAAACCTCAAAAGGTTTTTGCAGAGCAGTGCAGTATCCTCACACTTTGTAACCACAGGGAGCAGCTGCCTTGAGGTT